GGGTCTTGTCTCCTTGTGATCAGCAGGAGACTGGGGTAAGAGTGAAGACTTTTCTCCCACCTGATTTTCCCGGGACTAGTGAATCCTTCTCAAGTCTTAGGGACTCTTTCCTCTGTAACCTGCAGTCAGTCAGCGCCTGCTTACAAGAGTTTGAAGAAGTCCTTTCGGTTATTTTCCTGGCCAGAACTGGGTGAGCTCCCTTACAGGAGAGACTCCTCTCCAGAGTATCTGAAGTTTCTCAAAGGGAGGCAGTCCAGCTCCCGAGCCAACATCCCAAGTTTGTCTGGCTTGCTCTGCAGCAGTCGGCTAGGGACCTCCTATTAGTCATAAACCAGTGGTGAGCCGTGAGCCAGCCGCCCAGCCGGTGCCTGGTGAAGTCTGGGAAAAAACTTCTCTAATGTTGTGTTAAATATTTAGTATTCGAGAGTGGCCCTGGGTGAATATTTCATGCTTGTCTTTATTGTCAATCAATGTGCAGAAAGCCACATCCACTATGGATTTTAAAATCCCAAACCCCAAAGAAAAAGATTAGAATTGGAGTCTTCTCTATCCTGGTCCTTCGGGTTGGGAGCTCAGCTTCAGCGATTAGGCTGAAAAGAAACCTGGCATTGAGGTCTAGGCAGGATATAGTGAGGGGACTAAATTTAAGGGTCCTATCTTTTATAATTTAGGGGGCTTAGGTAGGTAGACAGGCCAGGTATCATCTCAAGTATAGATCAGTAAGACAGAGGAAAACATCTGTGCACCCTTAAGTGGGAAGGGTGGGACCAGGGACTACTTCCTAATGGAAGCCCCCAGCCCCTCTTACTGGGGCTGCATCCAGACCCGATGCCTCAGTCCAACCCTGCCATCCTCCAAGCCTGTCGGCCTCCTGGACCGATGTGCCCAGAAGGGTGGTATACAGTAATTCTGTCCTCCCTAGCCTCTCATCCCTTTGGCCATCGAAACACACATCTGGGCAAGCTGAAAATAACTTTATTGAAAGCTTCTGGATTGAATCTAAGGGGCGGGAGTAACTGGCACATGCAGAAAGCAACCTTGGTCCCAAGAAGGAACTGTCAGGGCATCATGTGTTAGAGGAGCAGAACAGTGACCCTCCAAGGACTCAGCCCACTGTACTCTTAGGGAAAGCCAAAGGTCACCCAAACCCTTCTTACACCCTTAAGGTTGTCTTAAAATTGGTTTTTGCCTTTAAAATGTACATGATTTGGTTTTCTTTGTTGGTAAGGCACTGAGACCCTCAACCAGACAATGCACAAGCATGGTACCTTATTTCCAAATATGGCTTCTCAAACCTATTGATTCTCAATTCTCTTGTCTCCCACATCTGCTCAGGTTTTAGAACACCCGGCTGGAGTCTGCCTCCACCATGGGTCCCATTCTGCGGGGGGGGGTCCTGAAATACTCCAGAAGAGACCTCCAGTGCCCCTCTACCCACTTAGTGCTGGGCACTGCTTCCTGGGATTTTCTTTACTCCTAACTAAAGGCAAAGAGGAATCAGATTGGGGCATCTCCACAGAGAAGGGACCAGAAATAGAAAAATCTGTTGCGTTTCTCTTTCCTTTAGTGCTTTTTATAGGGTGAGCTGGAGGCAACGTTTTTTAATTATAATGGTAGAGAACTATGGACTGTGGCTTTTATAGGGTTATCGTTGACCTCATTAAACTTGAGTTTATTGGAGGCAAAATGCTCCCCAAACAGTGATAGGAGCCAGTGAGAGGAAGGCCAGAGGTACCTCCATCCCTTGCAGATATGTACAGGAGGGCAGTCTCAACTCCTACTTTCCCTACTTCCTTACCCCTCCTAGCCTCCTGGGCGATGTGGGGCCCAATCCCCCTAGGCCTATTTTGTATAGCCTGGGCCAAGGAGGGAGGGGGGAGTCTGCTTCCTGTGAGAGGACAGCTGTGTGCCTGAGCACTTGAATTTGACCACCAAAGTTTATTCCTAGGCCACCATAAAAGCAAGGCAGGCTGCTACAAGGAGCTGCTGGCAGCCCAATCTCTTAGAAACAAAAAGGGAAGGCAAAGAACCATGAAGACACTTGATATCTAGGAAACTTTGGTGTCTCCCAACAGAGACTGTGAGAAGTAATATTCTTCCCACTAAAAGCAAAGCATTTAGTGTTGCGTTGTTTTCTGGCATTGGTTTTTTTCTTCTTCTTTTTCTTCTTCTTCTTCTTCTTCTTCTTCTTCTTCTTCTTCTTCCTCTTCCTCCTCCCCCCCCCCGCGTCCTCCTCCTCCTCCTCCTCCTCCTCCTCCTCCTCCTCTCCTCTTCCTCTTCTTCTTTTGACAATTAAAAAACCGAAACAAAACAAAACCAGGAACTGGTAATAGCTGCTGAGGTCAAGGACAGAATGTCCTGGTTTCTGAGGTCAGTTAGCTGCTGATTGGCAAAAAATACCCACAATGTGGAGTAGTGGCCTTAAGTCCAGGCCACCTGGAAGCCTATCAGGGAGTTTATTAGTCTGCAGCTTCTGCCTGGGGGCAGCCTTACCTCTCAGACAAGGGGCCCATCTATGGTCCCCAATCCCATCCCTTGCAGGCCCTGTTCTAGGCGGGTTTTGTTGTTGTTGTTGTTGTTGTTATTGTTTGTGTTTGTTTTTTAAAATTCCTCACCTGGTGGGTGCTGGTGGTCTCTGGTCCCTCCATCTGCCACCTTTGACTTAAACTCCTCCATATCAGCGCCATCCTGCCTTCCTTCCTAGCTCTTGGTGGCCTCAGTCCCAGCCGCCTGCCTGACTGCCGGCTCAGAGGCGGCTGTGGTCTGGGCAGCTGCCCCGGTGGTCTGGTCAGGGCTAGGACAGACTCCAGCGCCCTTCCCTCCCACATAGGGACAACCGGGACAGCTTCAGAAAGGGGCAGTGTCTGCCGAATTCTGGCCTTGGCGGTTCTTAGCGCATCCTCGGGTAGACAGCGCTGGGCAGCCTTGCAGGCCCACTACTCCACTTTTGTCTGGATTCTAGAGCAGATTGTGGTAGGTGGAAGGGCACACCCCATGGGCTGGAAAAAAAACCCAGGGAGGAAAAAGGGGGACTTAGGATCTCTGATGGACTAGGATTGTAAATTCAGCCCCGCACAGAGTCAATAAAAAGACAAACGAAGGGAGTCCCACACATTGGCACCCCCACTCACTCTCAAGCTGGGCTGGCAAGAGACCTCCTTAAAACGGCTCGCACCTTCTGGAGCGTTTTTCTCTCCCTTTACAGCAATATGGAGGCATAGAATAAATCTTTTAGCGTGCTTTGGGATTTTTATTTTGCACGCGGGACACTCACATTTCACCCTATCCTCAGAGAAGCAGAATGCTTGGAATTGCTGGTTTTCTCCTCAGCCCAAGTCAGTGCCGAAAGACCAACTTAAGGCCACCAAGGAAGGCGAATCCTGCTGGAGAACCCTCGGGCCTAAGGACAAGGTAGGGAGAGGGAAGGCAGCAGTCTCCCCACCCTGCCGCCCCACCCAACTTCTTCCGCTGAGGGATTGTCCCCGGAGGCTAGCAATGCTGCGACCCCATTTCTCCCCATAAAAGCCCCATTTTACGAGCCAGTTTCACTGCCACCCCCCCCCCATGCCCTAAAAACGAAGGAAATGTCTTAAAAGTAGTCTGGAAATAGAGCCGCTATCATCGGGCCTTAGTTTCGAAAGCTAGTTGAGGTCCCACAGAAAATACCTTTCCTAGGGGTATCACCCTCTTGGGCCACTGGGATCTCCGGACTGGCTGCCGAGTAGAGGCCTGGCTGCCGAACAGAGGTCGTGTTGGCCTGAGCCGCCATTCCCTGGCTTCAGCGCCTACTTAGACTCGGACCCAGTCCGAGCTGATCAAAGTTAGCTCGCGGCATTTTTACGAGATCAACTTCAGTTGCTCTTGTAATCAGACGCCTGGGTCGAAAATGCAAAGGGAACAGCCCATCAATCCAAAAAAGAAGGAAGGAGAGAGAGAGAGAGAGAGAGAGAGAGAGAGAGAGAGAGAGAGATTAAGGTGACATAGAGCTAGAAGATTCCAGTCACCCAAGAAGATCCCCTCTCCTCAGCCCTCAGCAACCGTGGTTTGTGGGTCTCTCCCATTCTCTAGGTCCTGCCTTCTGCCTGCACATTTGCTCGAATTCCAGGAGCCCTAACGCTGGGGCGAACAGAAAGGAGGCCTGACTCGCCTTCGCTGGAAGCTCCATCCGAAAGCTTGCACAGTGGGGACGCGCTGCGTGGGCGAGTGGCACGGCGGCATAGAACTGCTCAAGACAGCCGCCCTCTGCTCACGGCCAGAGTCTCCCCCATTTTGCTTCTTTTCTCTGCGGTCTCCGTGGTTCTCTTGTCACTACAGCCAGAAGTTGAGTTACAGGAAGATTTGCCAGAGATTTATCGCCTGGCCCCAAACTTGGAGAGCCTCGTTGTCATAAACAGCCGTCTATTGTCTAGACTTTTATCTCCGGGTATGGATCTGGATCTTGCATTAGTGAGGCTCAGGGGACCGGCTGGCTCCTCGGTGGGGTGTGCAGTGCAGTCGATGCTTGCCGGCGATCACCAGGGGTTTGTTTGGGTCAGTTTAGAAGGGTGGACAATTTGTTCATAGGAGTTGGGCAGGTATACCTAAGTGTCCACGGATGGAGGCCTGAGGTAGGGAAGGCCTCTTTCTCTCTGCCTGGGAACATTACCGTGGTGCGTGTACTTGTGTGTTGGGTGAGAATTTGTCACGGTGTGCTTTGTTCTAGGCATTTTAAGTGTTCCTGTCTGGGCTTTTTCGGGTTTTATTAACCTGCATCCGCTTGGCCTGTTTATGTCCTCTCCAAGCAGATCATCTGGTGTTTTTCAATATTGGAGCCATTTGTGTGTGTGTGTGTGTGTGTGTGTGTGTGTGTGTGTGTGTGTATTGGTTTTGGGAGTGATACCTTTTCAGCCTCTTACCCTTCAGATTCCTTTCCCCACCTGAATCATAGGCAGAGCTATGGCCTTCACTGGGTATCTGGCCTGCTTTTCTTCAAGTTCCCCAAATCTCCAAAGAGCCTGGCAGTTTTCTGTCACAGACATGGAGAACATTTTTTTGCAGAGAGAGGTCTAGGTTATCACTGTCTTTCCCACACTAGGCAGCTTCCCAGCTGGTAACCCCCCTATTTCTGGGGCTCCCATTCACAAACTGAAGGACCATCAGAAAGGGCCTCCCCAGTCTGCTTCAACCATCTGAAACACAGAGCATAATTCTAGAGTCTGCCAAAGAGGGCCTGTCATTCCCTCCCTTAGGCTTCCTGACAGTAGCTGTCCCCACCTTGGCTAGCCTCAGCCCCTATCCAAAGAACCCAGGCACTTTGAGACATAATGTCACTCTGCCCAGATTTGTGGATGAAACACTTATCACCTTAGATCTCAGGGTCAGATATTACATGGAAAAACCTTAACATCACCAGAAATAATCAGTTCAGGCCTCTTTGTTTTTCCTATGAGAACACCCATAAGAGGACCACAAACTAGGAAGCATGAGCAATCCATCTGAAGATGACTGGGCTGGCTCCTCGCTGCTGTGCCATGCAGACCTCAGTCCCACGTCAGGTCTCTGACAAACCTGAGACATTCCCACCCAGGTAGGTAGAGTGGGATGGGGCACATTCTAGAGGCTAGTTTTCTAGTTGACAAGGGTAGAAGTGACAACAATTAGAGGTTTTTAGAGCATCAGGTTCACCAGAATAGCCCATCATCTCTCTCTGAGTGTCCTTCCTTTCCCTTGCTATTAGAATTCCAATTTTAAAGGAAATAATTAGGCCTTAAAATGGCTTTATAAGCACAGAGGAGACCCTCCACAGACACCCCCACATCCATAACCCCTCTCTCCATTCCACCACTATTCTCAGTACTACTCTGGAGGGAAGAATCCAAGATCTAGGTTCTGGCTTCTTTCTCCCCGAGGCACCCACCACTGCCTTCCACAGCAGCGCGGATCTCACATTTTATCTCTGGCTCTGGCTCCGCCTTATTCTCACGTCGCCTAGCCGTCCTCCTTCCTAGCTCTCTGAAACCAACCAATATCTAATGTATTTGCTTCTCTGCACCCAAGGCCTGGACTATGGCTCCCGCTCAGGGGAGTCTGGGCCCCTGCGGCTAGGTCTTTGCTCTGAGCCTTGCCAGCTGCACCCTCCCTTCTTGGTAGTTGCCTGCTTTAAACGCTTCTCTCATTTTCCTCCTCTTTATACCTCAGAATCTCAGAAATAAATAAATCCAAGCCTTCTGTGGCATGGCCCTCCCCACCCTTACTGCCACCTAATATACCGCTTTGTTTTTGGAGGAAAACCGAAACATTCAGACATTTAAGCTGTAAATGAAGTTTTCTTTATGACGCTTAATTTTCTCTCCTATTCTTAAAGTCCTCATCCACTTCGCTGAGGAATGGAAGCGATTTACAAGTCTGTAGGGGGGAAGGGGGAGTGAAGAAATCGTGCCCAGAGTTAGAGGTAATGGTGAAAGATACCGAAGACAGACCAAAAGGGGTGTGGGCAGTCCCCGCCGTCAAAGAACAGAGCCTACGGTAGGAGAGAAAAGTTTCCTGGAGTCTTCCTCACTCCAGCTCCCCTCACAGCTTCCCCTCCGGCAGAATTCACTCCAATAAAGGAAGGAGGGGGGCGTTATTATATTTTTTAAAGTCCAGTGTTTACAAGACCAGAAATACCAGTGCCACGTCCTTCTGGAGAGAAAGGCTGAAATGGAGGACCGTCGCCTTCCTTATAAGGTACGATGCTAACTTGACCTTCACTTTGTCATGGCGCCCCCGCCCACCCAGACTGCTGCAAACCGGCCAGGCAGAGCCAGAGCAACTGCTGACCCTCGCCTCTGCCTCCTCTTTCAGTTTTTTACTTGTTTCTACATTTTCCTTGTATTTCTTTCCTTTCCTTGTGTTCACCTCCTGTTCCAGTTCCCTTTTGTTCATGAATCCCTTGCTCACGGTTTCATAGACCCCTACCCTTTAGCCTCATTCTCTGCCTCTGTGGTCATCTCTTCCCATCTTTCCACATTATCTGGGCTTCTTGGCTCCTAGAAATAAGAAAAAAATTGATATTCCCCCCATCCCCACCTTAAACTGACCTCACAGCCCCAGCCTAGCATTTGTCAGGACCCAGGTGGTATTAGGCAGTGGACTCCAGGGAAGAAGGCCAATTTAGGATGAAACAGGGCTTTGCTCTAGGCCCAGTGCTCATTTGAGGTTGACAATGAACTTGATTTTGATAAGCCCTTGTTTTGCTCTTACTGACCTCACCTGACAAGTCTCCATAACCCTAGTGACCTGGTACAGAGAACTAAACCTACTACTGACTGAGAGCAGAGTAGCCCTCATGGCCCCCTAGGCTAAGAGGAGCCAAATATCAAGTTATTGTTTTCCCATCTCTGTCTCTGGACTTTATAACCCCCGAAATCCTAACGATTTCACTTAAAATATCCAGGGTAGGAATTTAGAGTATTGGGAATTTCTGGTGATTCCCACGCATGTAAAAATAGGAAAGAGAAAGTCTCCTAGAGCCTCTACCTTACATGGCTGCCTCCCAGGTTCCAACAGAACCTCCAATATTAACTCTAATCATATCTTGTGTGCCTATAAAATAATATTATCAACACCCCTATAATTATCTATTATCCACTTACTTGTGATGATTACAATACTAGAGGAGGCAGGTCTATGCAGACAAAGTCAATTCAAGCAAATATAAAAAAAATGAAATTGGATCAGAGTACTTAAAACTGGATCTCATAATTTCTTAAGCATGTTTCAAATCTGTAAGCTGTTGCTCGGCCCCCTCCCTCGTTTAGGAGTAGCTATTTTGCAGGACTTAGGGTGATAGTGATTCTACCACCTTCTTTTCCTCTATATCTCATGTACTACCTGCCCCCTCCTCCTCCACACAGACACTGGAGAAGGTCAGACAATAAAAGGGGAAATGCTTTTTCTCTCTCTCCCCCTGCAATTATCCAGATAATTGCATGAATTCTTCCTTGAATACCACTGTGTAGTCAGGGTAAGGATTTCAACAGGAAGTGCAGGGGACAGGATTCCACATGGGGGGAGTTGAGTGAATCCTGCGTTTTTACATTCCCAGACTTTATAGTTCTGTCTAGCGTTACATTGTTTCTTCAGGCAAAGATCTTTGTTCCCTTTCAGTCATATTTCTCCCTTCTCTTCTGGTATTTTAAATTTATTACCAATTGGCTCATGCAGTGTGGTTTTCAGTTGCTGAAAATTTAGAGTCCATTACAAAAGTGAGGTTTAGAGTCATTTCCTGGACTCTGTTTGATGTCAACCCCCCCCCCCCTTTTTTTTTTTTTTTTTTTTGGTCCCTTTAAAGGAGACTCAGATCATCTTCTGCTCTTAATAGATGATTATAAAAGTAAAACTAATCCCCCCTTGCCCTTTAACATCAATATCTCTCTGTTAAGTATGCTTATGAGTGAGAATAAACAGAATTAAATGCTACAACCCAAACCAGCAATTACAAGGTTTTGTTTTGTTTTGTTTCTAGATGGGTCTGGTTTATCTGGAGGTGTTCTTTCTGGTGAGAGATACCCAGAGGGTATTTGTATCTTTTTACATGCTCATTGGAGCCTGAGCCAGCCCCAACCTGGTAGAAAAGGCAGCCACAAAGCCAGAGAGAGCAAGAAAGCCAGAAGAGGGAAGAAACGGACAGCCAGAGTCCAAAGGGAACCACTCAAAGGCAGGGAAAGGAATCAGCATGGTCCGGAACACTGACAGAGAAAAAAAGGCAGGCACCCACCCACAAAGGTTTATGTATTTTTATCTTTTAAAATCTGATTGGAGGCTCAATGAAGAAAAAGGAAAATTCAGGCAAGAGGACTAAGAGTTATCCGAGTCCTAGCTCACAGCGTGACCGTCCCTGAAGGAAAGAACTCGAGATAAACCCGAGTGGGCACTAGGGCAGCACAAGTCAGGTGCTGTCCCACGGACTGCGTGGCTGGACCCTCAAAGCCTCCCTCGAGGCTGCCTGAGTTTCCTTGTATTCCTTATCATCTCCATCTTTATGACGAGCCTTCTTAACAAGACCAGTGAGCTGGCCATGGACATCTATCTCAGCCGCCTGTGCTCAGCCAAGTAGCGGCCAAGCAGCGGCAGTCGGGGGGACTGGGAGGCGCTAATTAATTGATTCCTTTGGACTGTAAAATATGGCCGAATCTACAGGGAACCCATGGACTCATAAACAGTATTTCTGCTGTGAGTACACTGTCTCTCAAAGAATTTTTCCATAGGTATGTGTTAGAGTCCAGGATTTTAAATACTCGAATACTTTTGCTCACTACCAGAAAATGCTTCTGCAAAACCTTGTGTTATGGGATAGGTTTTTCCTGCTGCTTGTGTAGACCCAGCGATGGACTTCTGCCTGGCTAAGTGTAAGGCTCTGAATCCAAACTCAGCTGGGAAGGCCTGAAGCCCCTATCCTGCCTGGGAGCTGAGGAGTGGGGTTTCTCAGATTGGAAAGTTTCATAGCCGCTCAAGTTCAGGCTTTGCTTCATGATACTGCCTCCGTTCAAGATTGTAAAATAATTTCTTTAAAAATGGACAAACGTTAATCTTCAGGAACCCATGAGTGCCTAACAACAAACCCCAGACTGGTTCCTACTGGCTGAGAATTCAACCTTCCTGTTACATACTTTACCAGATCACTGTGTCCTCCTCTTCCTGCCTGACTGTACAGAATACCCTTGCAATGTATTTGCATCAGACCTAGAAGAGTGCATCTTCTGACACATGAGGTGACCTAATTAGAAAGCTGAAACAGTTCTAAATAAGCATGAGTATGCACTGAACCCTGCTGCAAACAGGGCTGTGTTCTCAATACAGACCCTAGCTTCAGACTAGAGACACAACAGGGAGATAGATAGCCACTAGTAGAATAATGCTTGTTGACATTACACGGGGGTTTTAAAGACCTGAATACTAGACAGAAGCACAAAATGGAAAAAAAAGGTTTGGCTGAGAAGGAGATTCTTATTACCAATGTCTTCCTGGGCTTTGAGGGCAGTAGTCTCTGTACTCAGACCTTTTCGGACACTCAGCTCTGATTCTAAGCTTTATTTTTAAAACCTCCAAAGAAATGTATATTAGAAATAAAATATATGAGCACAAAGAATATATCTTCAAAGCATTTGTTAGACATTGTATGTGCCAACATAATTTGCAAAATGTTTTTTTCTTCACATACTCGGTACATATGCACTTTGTATATATATAATAGTCTGATACAATTTTCATGGTTTTTATGTGGATATATTAATATCTGGATGTATTTCCATGCAACCATACTACATGTCTTATATAATCATGGAACTAAAGAAACTCAGAACTGTGCACCTCCTATGTAGGATATAGGCACATGCAGTGTTTACATATGTAAATAAATTTTTGCATGTGAATATATAGCTATCTTTAATTTTTTCCCTATGGCTTTTTCATGCAGCAGATGAAAGAGCCTCCGTATGTATATTTTATAAAGAACATGTGGCATGCCAAGAATGTACCTGTAACATA